TGAGATCATACGGGTCAAATAACGTGTATATGCAAAATTTGCCTTTTTTTCCTGCATAGCCTGGGTAAAGGCCAGCTGCCACTGCAATACCTGCATGGAGGAGAATGCAAAAATAGCTTCCTTCTATATGCCACAGTGGGTGGTAAAGAAATAGCTCCACTCCCTCTGCTTCCATCCACAGCACCATGTGGGTGACCTGAAGGCAGGAGACTGCATGCCCACAGGCACAAGGGAATTTTTACACAGGGCTATACTCTGCAGGCACAATCTAGCCCCAAAGGCTACACGATGTGTGGCTCCCATTAAACCTCAAAGCCCTTTACAAGAATGCCTATTTTCACTGCCATTGCCCAAGGATGACTTAGTGTTAATGAGCATATTTGCTCCACCTTAAAATAAAGTAAAAGTTTTAGAGGTGTTCACATTTTCTAATAATGACTATTAATATCCTACATTTGCTAAAATATGCCATTTTAGCAAATATTTTAATAGTTTTAAACAACCCTGCCTTCTACTTAAAAATAAATACATAAAAACCAAAATCATTCCTTAATACTTATTCATATTTGTTTTGATAAAATACCCACATGTGATGTGTATGAGCAAATACAAGATGCTTATCGTCCCTTATTAGACATGGTCATCTTGCATCTACTTTCTTTTTTATCTAGATATGCCTGAGTTTCTTGACAAGTGGCAGTACTTTGGAGTCCTTGATACAGTAATAGCTGTTAACGTGCCTGTCCTGATACATGCACATAGGCACTGCTCATACTAGCTTCAAGCTCAAGTAAACTGGCTCTGGTTGTGTGAACTGTTCAGGAGGCTGCAGTGAAACCAGGCAAGTTGAGGCCAACTTGCCTGAATTGGCAGATGTGAGAATAAACCACAGATACATCCCATCAGTCAAATTCTAGATCAGCGGATTAGTCTTGTAAATAGACTACCACTTCCCATCCTCCAGCAGAGTATTCCCATAGTGGCTGCAGAGCTATTTTAGAATCCTGAAACAATGACTCTGCTTGGTATCCCCTCTCTTGAAAGCCTGAAGCACTGGCTCTGCTTTATGGGCTGTGTTTTTTTGCAGTACATGTGTGTGCACATACTTGGCAAATAGAGAAAAGATGAGAAGCGGTCAGTAGAGGAGGTTTATTGCATTACATTTATCCTTCTTCCTGTCTTCTTTAAAAAATATGGATTTTTAAAAGTATGGTTTGAAATGCTCTGCTATTCAGATGTATTTGGTTTGGTCAGACAGTCCTCTGACTAATCTTGTGTGGTTTCTGGACCAGCTGCCATATAGACAAACAGGCTTGACAGGGCATGGCATGTTACAAATATCTCACAGGCTCTGTTGCTCAATGAAGATTTTTTTTTCTTTTCTTCTTGCTTTCTTGATGCTCTAAATCAAAAATGAAACTCCATCGGACTGAAAGTATGTGGCTACATTTGCAAAAGATCATTAAAACCCAGGGAATTATATTATTTTTGATTTCAAGCTTTAAAATATGCTTCTCTAAGGATAACAGGGGTAATTCCAGGCAACATGCTACAACTGAGCATGAAAAATGCCCAACCAATGTAATAAAAACATTTATTTTAATTCAATTTGATTTTCTATGTTGTAGCAGTCTGTTTACAAATGACCTATGGTCATTATTCACTGGGATAACCACTATTTGGATAAACAGCCTGACTCATCTCCCTCATTTTGGACAAGGGGCAAATTGGGGTAGAGGGTACATACGAAGGTAAGACACAACTGTAGATCCTTCACTTGGAGGAAACACTGACCTGTACACTACACTAATAGCGGTTGAAAGCCCTGATGGTCACCATTTCAGCTTCAGAAGTGGGAGAAGCATGCAAGGAAAAACAGGCAGAATCTCATTAAGGGGTATAGTCCACCTAAGCTCCCCAACCATCAAGAATTGGCAAGGGCAGGGGGAGAAGGAATGCTCCCCAAAACTAAATGTATACCAATATGTATGTTACCTCCATGTTATACTCGATGGTGGGCTAAATCTAATAGTCATGATTTGAGTCAAATCACTAACTGCAGATATTAACGTATGTCAATTTTAAATTTATCAAATGATGGGAAAAAAAGAAACTGAATGCAGTTGTGAAAGAAATATCTGACTATCACTAACATGTATTCAATGGAAAGCATGATCCTGCTGTTGCTGCTCTCCATGAGCTGAGCCCTTATTTACAGTGTATTGTTTATTTCCTTGGCATCCCAGTTTGGCATTAGCCCAAAGGCTAATTAGGCTTCTCAATTTTCATATCTGTGAGCAGTGAGGATTCAAGAAGAAAAAATATCAATAATTTATTTGCAAACAGCAAAAACATTTGCTCTGGAATCAAATGCCTGAAGACAATTGGAAGCAAACTTAATAAATGTCTGAGCCAACTCATAACATGAAGTCAGGCAACAAGCTAAAATGTTTCCCTTTTCCCCTGCTATTTTATAGGTTAGAGACAGGCATTTGCATTAATTCAGCCCATGATAAATAAAAGAGTAATGTGTAAAATTTGGGCCCAGATTATAGGCACCGACTTTTATCTTTGCTGCGCACAGGGAGGGGGACACGACATCATCCCTAAGATGATGGACATGTGGGAATTTTTATGCATTTCAGATGGACATGTGGAAAGTTTATGCATTTCAAGCGACAGCTCTCCTTCCGAGGGCAGACAGGGCCCTTGGTGCCCCCATATACTTGGCACCTCTGGCCCAGATCCTTGTTTGAATTTCAGAAGACCAAACTACAATGGTGTTTGGATCCAGGTATTTGGTTCAGGTCTTTCCCCTTGCAATAGATCCAAGTATTCAGGAGATGCTAGAGTGACTGGGTGAGGAAGAAGAGTGAAGTTGAGAAACAGGAGGCAATCAGCAGTAACACAAGACTGAAAATGGTTTAAAAACCTGGGGTGTGGGAAAGAAGAGCACAGGTCACACTGTGAGCACAGTGTCACACTGGAGAAATAGGAAAAAGCGTGTGCTGCAGTCAAGAATGTAAACAGGATTTGTAGCAAACAGGCCTGACATATGGCTATTGAAGCCATGGTCCAGGTTCTACAGCACTGATGGTGTTTGATGCTTAGTGCCTGGATTCATACCTAGCATTAGGGTCATACTGTGCCCTCAGTTCATTCGTGTGCACAGAGTACTACTAAGGCCAATGGAGACAGAGCATTTAACACTGAGTATAATGCAGCTCCTATAGTGATTTTGGACACGGCTGCACTGCTACCTCCTGTTTATTTACAAAGTCTTGCTTGCATGAACTGCTGCCCAAATCTTCTTACCCACCTACTCTTGGTCTTGATCAACAAGAGGCCTACACAGATAGACAAATGTTTCTATCCTCTTATGATTAATTCCTGTTCTCCCTCCCTGTCCCTATTCTGCCTTTATTATCAGCAGTGCTTAAACTTAAATTCTCTGTGCCTTTCCCAATTTCTATAAAATGCCTACTACTACGTAGGCACTGCAGACTCAGGTCTGCCTTTTTATACACACTCCCTACATGTTTTTGCAGCTTAATCACTTGATCAGCCCTGTTGGGTAAGTACAGATGTCAAAAAGCCCAAGGCTTTGATTCGATTCAGTCTTCACAGGTTAGTCTAATCTGCATAGATTGAACCGATACACAAGAGAACAGACATTAACTTTTGATTCCCGAAATGCAGCCACATGCCTACAGCAGCCCAGGCCAGGAGCCAGGGGGCACTGTAGGCTTGGCTTGGCTTGGGCCAAGATTAGCCTGCCTACCCTGTGAGGGGGTGTGGTTTGTGGGGGAGGTAGGATGCTGGGAGACTGTGGGTTAACTTGAATCTGGAGGGGATCTGGAACAGAAGTTCAGTAAACCAATTTAACCCAAATCAATTCAACTGATACTACATCCATCTAGGTTTATCTTAAACTGGTTTAATTTTGAAAGTGGTTTAAGTGCACTGAACTTCTGTTGTGTTACAGATTTTAAATGATTTCCGATCACTTATACCGGTTTATGTATAATGTCTATCCCTAGTGGTTAAGTTCAATGAGATGGGTTTACTCTGCTTCTGCAAGTCTGGAGAGAGCTGCCAAGAAGGATACCACATCCAACTGCTTCTACTTTGTGTGCATCAAACCCAAAATTGAGGACATCTCTGCCACTGCTCCTCAGATTTCTGGCATGCAGGAGAGGTGGAGGAGCGCCCCCAGGCAGCTTCACCACCTCATTTCCAGGTTTGGTAGATGCAGAGCAGGAGTGGGTGGGCAAGACATGCTTCTCAGCAGGGCTGTCAGGAGTGTTGTGGAAGTGACATAGGCATGCCCTGAAGTTACTTGTGTGAGGAAGTGCGGCAAAATAGGGGTCTATTTAAACAGATACAGAGTAATATAGAGAAGAGCTGCAATAAACAGTTAGTAGAGGATTTAGGGGATTTGGGTGTGGGCACTGAGTTTGAGAGCTCAAAACTGCTAGTCTTAAAATAATTAAGATCAGGAGGCTTCTATTCCTAAATCTGAGCTCATTTCCTGTTATTAAATTTTCTGAATGCTTTTCTTGATAAATGGTCCTTATGCTAGGTTTTAAGGATGGATAAACCACTGAGGAGTTAGGCTACAATGAGGAGTTTGGCACTCCATTATCGTACATGAAAAGATCAGATTTTTTGCCTCCTGCACCTTTTAACCATTGGAAGATCTAGACTCTAGTATTTTTTCTTTTACAGTTCTGGTAAAATCACTGTCTCAACTTCTATTTTTCTCCTATGGTCCCTCGGTATTTTTCACTCTACTCCACTTTCCATCTGTTTTTACATTGGATATTCTCTGCAACATCTCTCCTCCGGTCTCATTTAAGCAGAATGCACAGTCAATAAAGTTTGTGTCAGCATTTCAAATCTATAATGTTCAAATGGGCTTAAAATTAAGCAAAATAAACTCTTCAACCCTGGTAAAATACAATCATTATATAAAAAACTTTTTGCCACTTATGTCTTACCAGGACTTCAGAATTCCTGACAATCCTTCTTGCTTTTCTTAGAGCAGCATTTAGCCCCAGCTAGAAGAAAAAGAAGAAAGGAAAACATCAAGTCATTTTTTCCCCCTCAAATATTTGCTACCTTTCTTTCATTAGTCATTTCACAAAATAAAGAATGGTCTACAAGTCCATCATCAACTATCTCTTATTGGACTAACAATCAATTATCTAATCACCATCCACAACACTTTAGTTTCAAGAGTTCATTTATTTTGGATGAGGGCATCATTTATTTCCCTAGAAAAAAGCCTGGATAGGATTTGAGATTCTTATCTTATTCATTAGTTACATTTGACAAAACCCTGCAGTGAGTCATACAGAAATGCAATCTATTTTTCTGGTACAAGATGGTCAGAAAAGTGGCACACATATCAAAGTAGTCCATCTTGTTGTGACAAGATGAAGGAGAACATCTTGGCCTTATTGAAATGGTTAAATTCAGACTTGCCATCCAGTTTTGCATGGTCTTGGAACACAGAGGACACACAGGAAGATATATTTTGGAAAGCAGAGCATCATACCCAATGGTCACAGGACTTGAGAAGACTGAGTTGTTATACTTTCTTGTATTATAAATACCAACCCTTAAGGGCAAGAGCTTGCAGATTGCAACTAAATTATTTTTTTCCCCAGCTGAGTCGCTTACACTTGTGCTGATGAGTCATTCTGTAGGTGTTATAAAAGAGCATATATTTTTACGCAGGGAGGCAGAGCAGCAAAAGGGGACAATCTAACCAATAAAAGAGGGTATGTCAAGAGGAAAAACCCAAGTTCCACAGGTAGGTTAAATGCAGGTACCTCTGATATCCCCCAAACTTCCCAGCAGCACACACAAAGACCTACATAACAGCTGAATGCCCCTGACAGATGTTACACTTAAAACATGATTAACTGGTTGATCTTCCAACAATGCTTCATCCTTTGACAACATCGAGGAAAAGATCAACCCCCAACACCAAAACACCCCATCAGGTTGGACACCTCACAGTGGACAAAATTCTAAGCTTGAACACAATTTTGACTGCTTCAGGGAAAGAAATAATCAACAACACACACCACCATCATAACAACCTCTCCCTCTCAGAGAGAAGGGCCATAGAATCTCTAAGATCTAACCACTAAATAGTAATAAAACCAGCAGATAAAGGAGGAGCTATAAGTTATCCTTAACCATGAAGACTATATAAAAGAAGCCATCTCTCTTCTACACCACCTACTACAAAAAACTAGAGGAAGATCCTACTCCCCTTTTCACCTTAAAACTCAGAACTACCATCAAATCATTTCCATCTGAACTACAAAAAAACCCTACAGAACTTGATCCACCCACTGTCTAACCCAGGAAATTTTTACATGTTCCCTGAAATTCACAAACAAGGGAACCCTGGCAGATCTATCATATCCAAGCATGGAACCCTAAATGAGGAAATATCAGGTTTTATCAAATCAATCCTAAAGCCTTTTGTCACCCAAAGAGTGAGTTTTGTCCAAGACACAACAGGCTTTCTACAAAAACTTAAAAACATAGACTGCCTTCTCAGCAACACCCTCCTAGTCACATTACCAGCTTATATACCAACATCCTACAACAGGATGGCATCCAAGCCTGCTTTACATATCTTCGAGAGCAAGATTACAACTCAGAGTACAGACCTAAAGATATTACCGAATTTATACATTTCATCCTCTCACACAATAACTTCACTTTCGATAACCAACACTTCCTCCAGACCATGGGCACAGCTGTGGGCACCAAAATGGCCCCATAATATGTCAACCTTTTTATAAGCCACCTGGAAGAAGAATTCCTCAAGGACTGCACCATCAAACCCTTGCTATACTTAAGATATATTGATGACATCTTCATCATTTGGAATGAAAACCTGCAATCTCTGATTGATTTCCATCAGAAATTCAATAATCATCACCCCTCCATCAGACTACTCCAGCACCAACATTTCCTTTTAAGAGACAAGTGATCACTATTCAGAATGGTAACATACAAACCACTACATACAAGAAACCCATGGACCAACATATATTTTTGCACAGAACCAGCAATCACACTAAACACACCAAGAATATACAGCCAAGCCCTTCAATACCACCACATTTTCACTGAGGAGAACACCTGTGATTGTCACCTCACAAGTTTCAAAAGGGCTTTCACTCAACAAGGACACTCCACCAGAGAGATACATTGCACTTTTGAAAGAGTCACCTAGATACCACGTGAAGAATTGCTACAATACAGAAAGAAAATCCCCATGAATCGCACACCACTAGTTATGACATATCATCCCTCCCTGGAACCTATATGGAAAATCCTCAAACAATTGCAATCCATAATACAAGACCACCCAATTCTTAAAAAGATCTTCCCAGAAGAACCTCTCCATCCTAGCCTTTAAACAAGCACTTAACCTCACCAACCTCATCACCACAAGCAAACTTCCTATGGCCCAAAACACACTTATTATATCTGGATCATGCCATGCATGACAAGAAATGTAAAACCTGCCAACACATCTCTACCACCGCCACAATAACTATGCCCCACAACAGAACCATCAGCATTCCTGGATCTTACACCTGCACCTCCAGAAATGTAATATAGCTCATCCAGTACACTAAATGCCTTGATGGAAAATATGCAGGAGAAACCAAACAACTGCATACCAGAATGAACGCACACCAAAAATCTATCAAAGGTGAGAATACCCAATTACTTGTGGGGGCACATTTCTTATAAGACAATCACTCTCTCTCCAATCTCTCAGTTCTAATCCTCAAAGGGAAATTAAACAAAACCTTTCACAGATGAGCCTATGAACTTCACTCCATCAACCTACTGGATACAAAAAAATCAAGGACTAAATATAGACATTGGATTTATGGTAAATTATAACCTGCCCAACATCTGATACTCCAGATAACCTCTCTACTATTTACCAGCTACATCTTATCATCAGATCTACATTCCCCTCCCCCCTACCTGTTTCTCACCCACTGACTGCCTCAATTTGCATTTTCACTGACTGGCATTCTTGCATACTGGCCTCCTTCTATTCTATTCCATTCTATTCTATTCTGTCCCATCAAGGAGGAGCACAGAACAACTGCAAATGCTTCCTCAGCCAGAAGAAGGGTTTTTGCATCAGAAAACTTGCAAAGAAGAATTTTTCCAACTATTTTAGTTGGTCTAATAAAAGATAGCAGATTTGCCCAAAGAACCTTGTCTTGCCTATTGGCTATGCTGTGCACATTCAGAAAGGGGGGGAACCATCTTATGCCTCAGGCACCACGACTTTGAATGACAGCTGTAATGCCAGAGATCTGCTCCTCTGAAAGTTAGAGGAAACCTGTGGGGTGCCCTGTGCAGAAGTACTATGGTCAAATCAACACCAACCACTGGTTATCACAGCTGGAACCTGCCAAATGTTGAGAAATGCTATTAGGGCACAGCAGGCAGTCTGGATAGAAAAGGAAACAGCAAGGAGTCTGATTTTTATGTTTAGGCTCTTGTCAGTGTTTCTACTAGTTTAACGCTTGCTGTTTTTTGTGTGTCAGAGATCCGCCTACCGGCATGAACAGCCACAGCATGAAGCAACCTTAGCTTGACCATTATTACATTGTACACAAACACTTCACCTGGGACAGCACCTATTTGAGGGCTTAATCCTGGGAATCAGCAGACACTTTGGTCAACATTGTAACCAAGAATTGTTGACCGCTGCTAATTCCCACCAGCAGGTTCATTTTACTCTTGTTTTGTGCCTCCATGGATGAATTTGGTCAGACATGTTGCATATTTTCTTATTTTAGTGATATTGTATGGAAGTATTGAGATGAAAGTGAGGAGAGACTGCTCTGTCCAGTGTTCAGTCTAACAGGGTCAGAGAAAGCACAAGAGAAAATGGGCAATGAACCAACTGAGTAGACGCTTTCCAGCTAGTCTCATAGCACAAATCCACCTGGTTTAAATTGCTGCATCATCAAGTCTGTCTTGTCCCCAGCTCCCACCAATTCCTTGACTGGATGCCAAAAGACAGAGAACTACTATGGACTTTACTTAAGCAGCGTGCTGGTGACAAATATACCTTGCATGAATCAGAAAAGTCTTTTCTCAAATCCTGTAAAGAAGAGCCACACTAGTTTCTCAGGACAAAGGACTCTTCATTGTCAAGGATACCTCATGTATCCCTACTTGTTGCATCAGCTGGAGCACAATCAAGCTAGAACTTCATCTACTGTAGCTAAGCAATAAGGATGTCTACTCTTCCCTCTCTTGTTCATGATCAAATTTATGCAAAATACTGAAAGGAGAGGAACTGTTTTAATGAATGATACTTTATTCTGCAGAACATCCTGATACTAGTTCACTGACATTCTCATACATAGAAAAAAAACTGCCAGTAAAAAACCAAAAGGAGCTCTACAAATATGAGAAAGATACTTTGTGCATGGGATTTCATTACATCACATGCTGAGGTCTTCAGGAGAAAGTGTTGGCATCCCCCTAGCCTGAGTCTGTGGAGCGCTTGCAGGACTAGGCCCTGAGCTTAAGACAAAGTCTTACTTCCATTACCTATCCAATTTATTTTTTGAATAACGCTCTTTTGTATCAAAGAATATGAATCCATATGCTGTCATGCATGCATTAGGCCAGCTTTGATAATCTTTGTACTGGCCAGAGGAATATTTGCCTTTCTGTTTCAGTCCTTGCCATTAGCATCTAGCACAAGAAAAGCCAAAAATCCACTCTACTAAACTCCCCGCCTAAGAAATTCCTGGTCCTTTTCTGTAACTTACAAGAATTAATAAGCCTAGAAATGCAATAACATTGAACAGGTCTGAAAAGGAAAGAAAAAGAAAAATTATATTATCATATCACAAATACACCAGTGCTCTGCTTCTGATCAAAATATTAAGTCAGGACAAACTGTTTCTTTCCACTCTGGCCTGCTAGCAATCCCTCCTACAGGCCAGCATAAGAACATAATTGCCAGCTTTAAATCCAC